ATTAGCATTTGTTTTTCTGTGTTCGTTTATTTTGATACAATCGCCACCACGATCCCGACGACCATTGACCTCGATAAGTACTTCCTCACGTGACCTCTTGATTCCCCGCACCGAATCAACGACGACCAGCAAAAATCACCATTGCCTTGAAATGTGCTCGTCGCGAATTTCAATAAATTTAGCGGGATCTGACCATCGAGGCGGTTTTCGGAGAGGTGATGTTATGGAGGTTGGATAGGCTCCGGAGGGAGCCCGGGATTTCCTCTTTCAATTGATTGTGCGAGAGGTGGAGTCACTCGAGCTTCACGAGGTTTTCGATGGATGCAGTTTGGTCATTGTACACTATTCGATGAGTTTCCCGTGTTTATAAACCTTTGTAATATTCGAGAATACTTCTTGTTTAACTAACATATATTTTGTATGAAATTTATACATGGAACACCTACTTTTTATTGTATGAACAATATTACATAAGAATTACTACTTTGATGTTTATCAATATAGCTATATACGACGACTAATTGAGCGCAAACAAATGGGTATTCATATCCCATTGGAGGACATTTGTTGTGTTTAAGTAAAGTATAAGTTTTTACGTAATTAATTTATGGTAAAATATATGTTGCGTATGTGCTAAAGTATTGTTTAACAAAGTATATGAGAAAGGATATTACTAATGTATAAAAAAAGTTTATATTGCATATATATTAAGTAAATATACAAACATGGTATATATTGTATATGGTATTTATCCCGAAGTTAACGTTAAATAAAAAAAAAGTCGAATAGTAACATTTCTATTGAAACATAGAAAATCACCTTCGATTGAAAATCCAAAATAAACACATAAATATTCCAAATTTACAGTGCACAATANCATACAGTGCGCGATCCAGATTAGTTTGGTCCAAGTTTCACTAATTGTAGGTCAGTGAAATAAGGTAAATTAATTATTCTTATTATAGTGTAATTATTGAGAAATCTCGTAGATTAAAAATAAAATTCCTCACCGGTAATTTTAATATTAAGATTTAAGAATTAATAAGAGAAGTAAATATCTCAAAAACAAAAAAATAAAAAAATAAGAGCTCTATTTGTAGCTGTTTCTGTGGCACTGACACAATATGAATGTTTTGCTGATGATTCTATTTTAACCTCTGTGGCACCCTTCACTGTCTCTCTTTGCTGATGATTCTATTTGTTTTGTAAAGCCAATATTGATCATGCATGTTCTGTCGTGAATATTCTTGATGAGTATGGATGTGCTTCATGTCAGCAAGTCAATATGTCTAAATCAACCATATTTTTTTCTAAGAATGTGGATGAACAAGTTGCTTCTGATATCTGTCTCATGTTACATGGAATTTCTAGAGTAAGGACTGCCACCTATTTAGGTCTCCCACTGGGGATTGGTAAAAACAAAAGAGAGATTTTTCAGTTTATCAATGATAGAGTGAAGAAAAGAGTGTGTAGCTAGAAAAACAGATTCTTTAGTGAGGCTGGTAAAGAGAGTTTGATCAAATCCATTCTAGATTCTCTCCCCACTTTTGTTATGTCTTGCTTTAAAATTTCAGTGGCTGTGTGTAAAAGTATATGCTCTGAAATTGCTAAGTTCTGGTGGGGGAGTAACAGTAAGGGGTGTAGGAATATCCATTGGGCAGCTTGGGATAGTATGGCTAAACCTAAAGAAAATGGGGGGATGGGATTTAAAAATATGAGCATGTTCAATGAAGCTCTCCTTGTGAAACAACTCTGGAGAGTGATCACCCAACCCAATCTTTTGGTTAGCAGAATTTTGAGGGGAAAATACTTTTGGAAGGAGAATTTGCTGACAGTTAAAACTAGACATTCTGATTCTTGGCTCTGGAGGAGCTGGATGAGTGTTAGGAAATCTTTGATGTTGGGGATTAGGTACAAAGTGGGGGATGGGGCTAGCATTAGAATCTGGGATTCACCTTGGTTACCTTCAAATTCATCTTTTTTTCCAGCATGCACTTTTGACAGGGACAGAGAAAGACTTAAGCTGGTGGAAGACCTAATCATTCCTGAGACCAAATCATGGGATAAAGAACTTATCACACAGACCTTCACCCCATTTGAAGCTAATTTAATCCTTCAAATTCCTATCAGTCACTGTGGACAAAAGGATAAATACATCTGGCACTGGCATAAGAGGGGAGATTTCTCAGTAAAAGAGGTCTATAAGCATTTGGTAAGAAAGGCTGAGGAGTTGATGGCATGGACTAGCTGCTCTGAGGATAAAATGAAGAAGATGTGGAACTACACCTGAAGATTACCCATCAAGGGCAAGATTAAAAACTTTGGAAATGTTGGCAAGGATTCTTAAGTACTGGAATGAAGTTAGTTGAAAAAAGGGTAGAGTGTGATGAATGGTGTCATGTATATGGGGGAGATAAGGAAGATGCACATTCTGTTTAGATGTCCTAGGGCAATTATCTGTTGGCAACTAATTGGCATAAGCTGGGAAAGACTTAAGTTACAAGAAGTGAGCTTTAGAAACTGGTGGTTTGAGCTATGCACTGAAGGTAAGGGGGAATGGTTTGAAGATAGAATCAACTTGTCTTGTTACCTCATGTGGTGGCTATGGAGGACAAGGAATTGCTGGTTGTTTGAGAAGAAGTAGATTACTGAGGTGATGATTGTTAAAGGTGCTAAGAATGAATGGGATGAATTCAAGCATGCAGAGAGTTCAGAAAAGACTGGTCTCCATCAACAAACTGAAACTCAAGCAACCTTGGTGAGAGATTATGAGGTGGGGGTAGGGCAGTCTTTATTGACTGTCAGTGCCCTATCTAACTCCAATGGTATGCTTGGGATAAGAGGAGCACTGATTACAGATGGTAGACAACTCACAGATGGTCTGAGTCTATGGAATTTGAAGGTACTATGGAAGAATGGAATCTTCTGGCACTCAAATGGGCTTTGGAAAGGGTAGGGCAAACAAATTATACTCATATACATTGCTGCATGGTGGATAAGAATCTCATGAACAAATTGAAGAACAAGTCCACATTTCGTAGTGCATATGATATAGTGGCAGATGATATCCATAGCTTAGCAGGTTCTTTGCACTTGTGTAATTTTATGGTAGACGTGTCTTTGTGTTCTTCTAGTTTGTTATTAGCCAAAGGGGCTTTGGAGGGGAGATAACATGTTTATTTCCCTGGATCAAGGATTTTTGGGTGCATGTACTTATGTATTCTTGTAGTGGTCATTTGACTACTCGGTTGTACACTTCATTTGAGTTTATTTTATGGTTGTTTGATTTGGAAAAAAAAAAAGACATAATATGGACATTAACTAAAACATTGGGCCCACATTTTTAGCTAATTCTGTGCCACCGACACAATATGGGCATTAATATAGTGGTTGTACTTGTTACTTTTTTAGTAATACTCCCTCCTTTTTTTAATAGATGTCGTTTTGAAAAGTTGTACACTAATTAAGAATATTTTTTTTGCCAATAATAACCCCCATCTATATCTATAGTAATATAAAGAGGTTGTTGGAAAAATACAAAAATAGTAAGGTTGACTAAAAAATAATGTTTTGACTTACTATTAATGGAAAGTTCAAAAAAATACATGTGAATCTTTAGTAGCAAAATCCGAATCCTATTTTTTGGTGACTAATTTGAAGATTCTTATGGCAAAATTTGAATTCTATTTTTTTCGTATTATATTTTATTTTTTTTACTAATATTTAAATCATATATTTTTTGGTTACAAATTTGGAGATTCTTATGCAAAAAATGTGTCAATTATTTATAAACAAAATTCTAAATACAAATTAACTTAAAAACCGTACAAATTGGATACAAATTTTGGAAACAAATAGTTGTATAATTCTTAACCAATTCTTCCAATCTTATTGAATAATTTTTTTCTTTAAAAAAAAGTGAGTAAATTGGATAAAGCCACGTGCAATTTTTATTTTAGAATAAAACTGATATTTGGATGGGATGTAAATTCAAAATTGTGTCCACATTTTTTGGTAACAAAAGTTGTTCATCTTTGATATATAAAAATTAAAAAAATCTTAAAATATCCTTAAATATTTAACTTATTTGAGATCAAGATTTGTTAGGTCTTTTTAAGATTAGTTATGATTTAAAAGAAAAAAAAAATTATACAAAATTTCACTCTAAATCTCACATTCACACTTAATATTTCATAGTAGTCCTCTAAAATTTGATCATAGTAAAAGTCTCAAATCTTAAAAAATCGCAAAGTGACACTCAAAATTCTAAACGAATACATATTATACATATTATTTAATATTATTTACCCGTGCATCGCACGGGCCACGTACTAGTATATATAAAGAGGTTGTTGGAAAAATATATTAATAGAAAGTTTGACCAAATAAATATAATGTTTGACTTACTATTAATGGAAAGTTCAAAAAAATACATGTGAATCTTTTGTAACAAAATCTGAATCCTATTTTTTGGTAACTAATTTGGAGATTCTTATGGCAAAATTTGAATTCCATTTTTTTCGTATCATATTTTATTT